CCCAGCCGAAACCAGGACAGCCATCTACCACTGACATCCTCCCCTGGCTATAGCCAGGGACCAGAGCTGGAGGTCTGCTGGAAATACAAGTGTAGAAAACTGTATGCAATGTCATTAACAAAATGAGGCAAAATCTTGACAATATATGACATGCACAAGATTAACCAATATTATGAATACAGGGCTAGTGATAATTGAATGATAAACTGAATACAGTGATCAACTAAATCACCTGTACTGCAAACTCTCAAGTAAAAAACCAAAAAAACCACAAAAACAAAACCAAGTTGCACAAATGCAAACATTCCTTTTGGCATCTCCTGTACAGCTGCACTGAAGGGACTTTGCTAGGTATCCTCATACTTTTAAAGTGAGTCTTGCTGTCTTGGTGGGAGGCCAGAGCACTTCCCCACTGCCACCTTATTGCAGTGCCTTTTCATTGTGAGGCAATTGAGAAGTCCAGCTTGCTGCTCTGTGTTCTTGAAAATACCAGTGACAGCACATCAGAAAATGTAATATCCCTGCTAAGTTATTAAAGTAAGTTAGAAACACTACATTACAGAAAAAGAAATCTAAAAGTGAAAAATGCCACTACTGTCTTTTCTTTCCCTGCCTCTAGCTAAATGATACAATGGAATTACTTCCTTTGGTTCTGACACTTTCTGGTAAATAAGGATGCATTTTTCTCCCTGAGAGAATAGTGTTTAAATGAGCAGTTGCCCCATCACAAGTGAATTAAATTTCAGTCTTTGACTTTATTCAGTGGCACAGTTCAGTATTTATTTTGTGTGTGTATGTGTGACAAATGAATAAGGAAGTCGTTATTTATATATATATATAAGAAAAGCAGAATGAAGTTCATGGCTTTATTCAGATTACTGAGAAATATCAGCTTCAGGGTGCAGGATTTCAGGAAGGGTTTAATTCCAAAAACAATTAAATTTTTCTAAACAAACACCCAATGAGGACAGGGTTCTGGCTACCGATGCAGTTCTTGGCTTGGCTACAGGCAGCGTGACCTTGACAAAGTATCTCAGATCTGTGCTTTGGTTTCTAATCTGTAAAATGCATAAAATGTATTTGTGCCCAAGAAAAGTCTTCTGTTATTAGTAAATGACAGTGAGTTTCATTATGATAATCTCATAGAAAAGAGAAATAGTGCCTTGGTACAGTTGTGCAGACAGCAAGTGAGAGAGTCCAGCAGAAACTTGCTGGTAATCTCAGTCAGTCTAAATTTCAGCAGCAAATGAACGCACGGGTTACACAGATCTTTGATTAACATGATTGCAATCAATTAACTGATGTGAGCAGCCAAAGTGTTACAAATGGCTCAGTCACGTAAACAAAGGCTATGCTCATTCACATCTGCTTTCTGATAATTTTCATAGGTAAAAATATCTGCCTGTATCCCTTCAGTTATAGTGTGTAGTGCAGTTATTGGGAGCATCATTACAGGATCCAGAAAGCAAAGGTACTTTTCTTCTGGAAAAACAAGGTGTTATCAATTCCAGCAAGATCTGAGCCTTACTAGGTCACAGAGAATAATTTGTAGGCATGGAAACTGCTCATAGCCACCAGAATGCAAAGGTAACTTACCTTCCAGTTTTATAAACAGCCTATGAAGAATCCAGTTTTATTTACTGAAAAAAAATGAACTTCATCTTATATAAACACTAATGCACCTAATAACATTTAATGCACAAAATGACATCGTGCCTTTTCAGCTTTTCTTGTAAATGCATCTGAAAATACGCTCTCCCTTTGTGATTTGGAGCTATCAGCATGCCTTGTATGGAAACATGCTGGAAGTAAACTCCCACCTCTCTGCTCTTCCTGTGCTCACAGTGATATGTCAAAGCTGAATGATATTAAATGCGGATATGGCATGTGAGTCTAGCAAACAGTCCCACTGCTTTTAAAGGGAATTCTGGGTAGGCAGCGGTTCACAGCCTTGAGGTGCTTGTCCCATCATCATGCTCAGAAATATCACTTGCTTCCTCCTGAATCTTAAAGAAAGAACCGGAGTCTTCTCTTTTCTGGTCTTAGATGCATATGAAAGTGTTCATAACTAAAGAAGAAAAAAGAAAAGAAATACTTGGGATTCCATTTCTGATCAGAAAAGAACTAAGGAAACACTCCTTTTTTCAATGGGAATAAAAGGAAACTAAATCAATCTAAACGCACCATGTCTGCAACCAAGTGCAAACAACGGTATCAGCAGCACTATACGGCATCCATCTGTACATGTCAACAAAATTATTTCAGTGATACTGGAAATATACTTGTATCTTTCAAACATACTTGAAACATGCTGACAAACACGTAATTTACCTGCTCTGGTCCTGGATAAAATAACCAAGTCAAGGTGATCACAAGGCAAAGAGCTCCTTGCTGGCATCAGAGAGCCTGTCAGACAGAGAGTGAAACAGCAATCAAGAAAAGATCAAATCCTCCATCAAATTATCAGACATAAATATTACCTCTAAAAATGCAAAAGCCTTTCCTCATTTATCCTGATCATGAAAAAAACTGCAGCCACTAGTTGGGTATAAATTTGAGATGATTTGAGTGATGCTGAGTTTCTTGAAAATAGATGCACTTCCACCATCAGGGAAATGGGGACCGCCACCTCCTTTTGATAATGGAAGTAAATATCACGATCTTCTTGAAAGAATATACACTGGCTTCAACAGTGGAATATAGATATCTATATTTCTGTGAAACTGAGACAAATAGTATTGTCAGCTAAAATGCTGGCCAATGGAGAGACCTACTAGTTAGTTAGGTTGTTGAGGATGTGTACTCATAAAATAAGATGCAAACAGAAATACAAATATAATAGAACTAGATACTTACATTTTTAACATAAAGTGCCTTTTGTTGCAGTCCCCAAACCTCAACAAACCACCAAGGGAAAAGGTGTATAATTTTCTATGGAGAGCAGCTCTGTACCCTGATCGCTATTTTCACTGAGCAAGCATGCTAAGAGAAAAAGAGCTTCACAAGCTGTTTGTTGCTTTACAAGACAAATAATAAAGATTTAAAAAAAAAAATCATTACTGGCAATGAATAAATATTATTAAATCCTTACTGTCTTTTTTAATCAAGACATTAAGAATCATTCCATTATTAAAACTCATGCTGCCTTCACTTATTAAAAGATATATTCAAAAGTGAGTATATTTTGCCTGTTTTCTAAGAAGGAAGGAATTCTACTATGCACTAAGGTAAAAACATTGAGAGACAGGAAATGCTTGGATTATGATTTGGAAATCGAATTCTTAATTCTATTACCAAAAGGAAGAGATAACTTACTTAAATAGGCTTTTCTTTTTTTTACCTCTGCTAATTTGGCATGCATCCTCACTAGATACAAACAACACTACACTAGAGCAAAATTCAAG